CATCACATTTTGAGACAAAGTGAGAAGACTCACAGCTATAATTAAAGGCATTTATGTCTAAAGTTTTCTCTAAAACACCATGAAGTGACATTAAGCCACCAAAATGGAAATACGAGGAACAAAATCACGATTTACCTTCAACTGGAGAGTGACTCATCTCGTATATGATGCTGCAAGTGACACAATGACCTACGCTTGTTTGCTTTTTATAGCACTACCATTATCAGTCGGTAAGACATAATTATGCCTGGTAAGCTTTCTTAATTTACACATCAATGCCAAGTGTGGAATACTATAATACTGGAATACTGGGGAAGTCGTGGCCTAATGGTTAGAGAGTCGGACTCGTAACCCAAAGGTTGCGGGTTCGTGTCTCGTACCGGCAGGGATTGTAGGTGGGGGGATGAGTGAATGTACAGCACTCTCTCCTTCAATACCACGACTGAGGTGCCCTTGAGCAAGGCACCGAACCCCCAACTTCTCCCCGGGCGCCAACAAAAATGGCTGCCCACTGCTCCGGGTGTGTGTTCACTGCTGTGAACTTTGGATGGGTAAATGCAGAGCACTAATTCCGAGTATGGGTCACCATACTTGGCCACATGTCACGTCACTTCGTCGTTACTATCAATAAATACTCATGTTAACACTGAATACAGAGAGGTGTTCTGGTTTTAGTCATTTAGAAACATGATTAAGTTTTAGTTTTTTTTTTTTTTTTATATGTACAAACAATAACTATGTTCAACTCCTGATAACATTCACAATAACTGCAAAAATCCACTGGCAGTTAGGCATATGATTTTTGAAACCTGATACTCAAGGATCAAGTGTTGTAATGGTTCAATTTATCAGCAACTGAATGAGATGAAATTGAAGTTGTAACAGAGACGATACACAAAGCCTTAATAATGGATAGAACAGCTAAGCAGGAAGTGATGCTGGATAAGAATCCATGACAGAATGTAACTGAATCAGCAGGACAAGATCAGAGTTTCACTTTAGCCTCAGTACAATGAGACTCTAGACGGTTTCTCTTCTAGTAACACTGAAACCAGTATTCATAAGATACCAGCCACATTTATGTATTACATGTATTCACTCTATCTTTTGAAATTTGACCTAGAACAGGGTCAGAAATGTCACTGAATGTGAAAAAATGAGAAAGTGATTTAAAGGCATGTCTTATATATTTATTCATATGTAAATATGGTGGTTATATTTTAGCATATTTTGGCATCAGACATTAGAAGCCCAAGCCATTTTGCGGATCAGTTTCAATGAATGTAGAATGTATTTCAGGTAACAAATTTAATTGAAATACTGTAGTTTTACATATACACATAAAATAATTCATAATAATATAATAATCATAAAAATTTAATTCCCTCAAAAATGGGATTTGGCAATTGCAGGGGACAAATATTGCCCCTCAATTTTTTAAAGAAATTAATACTTTTATTTAGCAAGGATGTATTAAATTGATCAATAGTGACAGTAAAGACATTTATATTGTTACAAAATATTTCTCTCTCTCTCTCTCTCTCTCTCTATATATATATATATATATATAATTTAATAAATATAAATGCTGTTCTTTTGAACTTTCCATCAATCAATAAAAAAAAAAGTATCTCAGTTTCCACAAAAATATCAAGAGAAACTGTTTTCAACATTGATGATAATAATAAGAAACACTTAGGCCTACCTTAACTTAACTTAGTAATGGCTGCTGGAAATTCAGCTTAGCCAACACAGGAATAAATTACATTTAAAATATATTAAAATAGAAAATAGATATTTTGTCAAACTTGTTTCTACTGTATTTTTAATCAAATACATGCAGCTGTGCTCAGCATAAAAGACTTCTTTCAAAAACATAAAAAAAAACTTACTGACCCCAAAGTTTTGAACGGTAGTGTATATGGCCACCCTTTTATAACCTGACATATCTTTAGAACCCGGGTATCACTGGATGACTCTGAATGAGCAGATCAGGTAATGACTAAGCACTACAATCAGATCCAGAGATCAAAGTCATACACCAGTGAAGTCAAGACAGTTGAAAGATGGGAAATAGCCGCTCTCTGTATCTGTGCATTGTCTAGTTTTGTGTTATTAACCCAACCGAGACAGCAGCCCTTTTATCTGTAGGAAATATGAATCCACAAAGACCTTCAATTCCAGCACTAATAGATCTTCATTACCTATTGAAATATAAATACGGCATTGTGAAAGACAGACTTAAGAGCTTGAATATTTTAGGTCATAAATAATTAAGTAATGGGCTGCATTCCTTCATGAGGGCTATTGAATCCTCTGAGCTCAAAGGCTTTAAATTAACAGGCATTATGTTGGCTAAACAATGTAAAGATACTTCTGCCAACATTTGACTTTATAAATAGGGGACATTTTCTTGTTGTCTACATACAACTGTCAGCTAGGCCATCTTTGTTTCCACAGCACATCAATGAGCACATACACAAACACACAAAAACATATAAGGCAATATGTTGCCAGACACAAGCACAGGTAATAGACTTATGTTCTCAAATTAAAGCAAAGTTAATTGAGCCATGATTTCAAACTGAAAGACAGGTCTGCAGTTGTGTGCACCAAACACACACTAATCGAGGCCATTTAAGCAGGACTGAACATGGAAGACATAAAGGAGAACATTTCATTAGCTTGCCTTGTATATGTGGTCAATGAGCCACTAAGATGTGGCCCCAAACACACACCGATGCGATGAACAAATGAACCCTGTCCAGTCATTGGTTACATAACTAGCTCTAAACAGCAGTCAGACGTTGTGTGCCCTCATGCTGGCAATAATTCACTCTTCCTGTTCCTAACCACATCCAGTTCAAATTGACACAATACCTGAAGTTATCTAAGGATGAACAACTGACAGTGGTTAGAGGCTTCATGTTAGTTTCTGGCACTAAAATATTCAGGCAATGTCAGATATCCCACAGAAACAATTCTGTGAAACTACAGCATTACATAACACTATGGGCTCTGCTCCCATTAGCCATCTTAAAACTTTTAAAATGGCAAAAGAAAAGCAATACAGAGAGTTTAAGTACAAAATTGTAGGAACTTTCTTGCTTAACGTAGTATAATTACAGTGATGGTGATATTACAAGTCTCCATAAGTCATGTGATAGTTTTTTTTTTTGGGATGAACTCCCAAAATCTAAGAAAGTGTTCAATCAATCTGCTCTATGCTTTGTGCAGTCGTGACATAAAAATGACAAAAGCACTAGACAAATTACTAACAAAATGACTAACACTGAAAATAAAATGAAAACAGAAGCTAATTCTAAATATGAATAAATACTGTAATAGTATATAATTAATACTAACAATGACACATCTAGTTCATAAAAGCAAAAATAATGTGTTCAGCTCAATCCCATTTCAGCTCACAAAGCTATCATATGACTTCAGAAGATGATATTGGCTTATTTTATGGTGTTGTTTCAACTTTTTTGAAGTTTTAAAGAGCCAGTGCCATTTAATTCAAACTGCACAGAAAGGAGCGACCTGTACATCACAACAATTTTCATTATGTGGGGAACTATATTATTAAGAGCAGCTCCATATTAAATAATATTTCAACAAGTAACATTTTTGAAATATGCTCAAACTATCAAAAAGACAATAGAACAATACAGAGACAATAAATGTCTATGCAAAGCACACAGACACTCATTTACATCTCAGGAAGTGAAACAATTTACAGAGAGGCCGCTTAAACTACTTTATCACTGAGACCATTTTTAGCTTTTAATATGCAAGATTAACAACACAGATTACTAACCTGAGCTATCACAACATAAAAAGGGCATCACTGATTCTGTCCATGTTTTCCTTTAAGTAAAGCCAGTTTAAGCAATTTCTTACACTTCTAGTCTCAGTTTATTATTTGAGCAAATAAATACGTCTATTTATGAGAGATGATTCAGTACAGTGGTGATCCATGCATACAGCAGCTCATAATGAGGTCATGCACCTGATTGTGAGGAAAGCCATTCAACTATCATCATTACGTAAGAGCAAGCCAGCACGCCATCCACGCTATACTCACCATATTACAAATGGAGGCGATGTTTCTGACAGTCATTTAGTTTATAATGTGCCCCTCGTTGCCATCTTTATGAAATAAACATGACTGTAACAGCAGTACACTGACAGGCCAAGCTGCAATCCCAACCGTGGACAGCAATCAGTGACCATTCAATCCCCACTGCTCATTCAAAGTGCGAACAAAGCGAGAGATAAACGTCTGCGGCTTTCGTCTAGTTGTTTTCTTCATGGTCACTGCAACTAAGAATAAAAATGCAGGATATATTTATTGTAAACATCTTTGCCAGTTACACAGACTAAACGAAACACTCACTTCCTGGATTACTGGTCAAACCCCGCCCACTGGGACACAATTGGTGCTTTTTGCGTCAACGACACGAAAAGCTGCTCAATTGATTGACAGATCGATTCACCAATGAATGTCGAAAACATGCGTTCGAACTTTCGTTGTGGCCAATAGAATTTGTATTAGATGCGGGACCAAATAAAGGGTTGTCCCAATGCACAATTCACAACTCCACAGTACAGTCAAAGCCCATAAATGAACTTGGAGCACACTAAATGACACATTTTCTGGTCATATGAAGTGCATTCTATACATTTGTGCATATAAATAATATTAGGCCCCAGTAGTTTAAATGCGAAAGTATAAAAAGAGAATTTCTCGAGTAATAATTTTTGTGAACATAAACACCGTCTCATATGCCCTGCTGCCATCCATTTATGTTATCGCTAGATTAATCAATAATAGTTTTTTCGAGTTGGATCTTTTGCCGAAACTGAGCGATTTGTTCGCCAATCAGACTGAATCGTCCGAGCGTTTTTAGGAGTCGTTTTTATCGCTGAATTAACTGAAAGAGCCGATTCGCTTAAATGAACTGGAGGCGGTCTCTTTAAATATCCCAGAATTCCTCACAGCTCACACGTGTTCATTGCTTCCCGCACTGCACTGCCGCACAAAGATCACACACGCGGTCGGTCAGAGACAGCATGAGCGGATGCAGTATGGGCGTTGGTAAGTTTCTCTGTTTAGATTTATTTATTTATTTTTAAACTTACCTGAAGCTATGCTTAATTTTACGCTTACACACAGCACAACATGTACAAGTTGTGTCGAAAATAGTCAAGTTTAGTTTACCAGAGTAGTTACAGTGAGCTTTAGAAGTGTATGGATAGGTATTAAAATAGTTCTTAGAGTAAACCAAAAGATGCTCGATAAAACATGTTGTAGAGCTTGCTGCCAAGCCTTGATCATAATTCTAGAAGTATTAAGTTGTGAAGAAGTGCCACGTGTTACCCGGGAACGCACGTGGTGAATGTGCGGCCTGCTGATGTTGATTGCATCTGTTTTAATAGATTGTACATCTGAACCCCCTGACTGAAGAGAAACATGCCAGTTTCTACGATGTCTTCCCTATAAGGGTAAGGAAGCATTTATTAGCTTAAGATCCTCATTGACTAACAAAAGAGGGTAGAGGAATTCTGTCTTATTACTCTAGTTCTTGCTTAAAGAAAAGCTCAGCTCTAAAGCAGTAAGCTTAGTATATGTTTGTATGTTTTAATTAATTGTGTATTTTTTTTTAATCTTCATGTCTAGGCTCATATATTGCTTGGCCTTGAGGCCACAGTTGTGCTTAAGAATCCTTCTCTAACCATTAATTGGTAAGTGATTTACTTTTTTTTTTAGTTTTTTCAACCCCTTTTATTGCACATTCAAGTCCTGTTATGTCTTGAGTGATTAAGACGGGGGTAGATGAATTCTCTCAAAAACCTTAAGTATTGGCTTAACATTCCTTGCTTCGGATCCTGTCGGGAGAAACAATTTTTACAATAGTTAGCCTTGCTAATTGTATTTTAAGATGCTTGATAATCAGTCTAAATGTATTTTGCAGCTAATGGCAAAGGCAGAGAATGTAAGAACTACAGTCATTAGGTGAGTAACTTGGTCATATCACTGCTTTTTCTGCTTGTATTTCAGACCGCTTGTATTTTTTCGTTCAACCAGTCTGATCTAGTCTCATGATGCCTCCTATGCTTTGCCCACTGGAGGCTGTCGGTGTTTCTAGTGGTCATATCAGGGGGGTAGAGTGAGCTACTCTTGCTAAAACCTGGGTCAGAGGTCACTTCTCTGTGCCTGGATCCTGTCGCAAGACACATGCATATATAAGAAAATTTAAATGCAGGCAGTGTTTGTAATGTGTAACCTGGTTTGAGTTTTAAAGTGAATTTAGGTTTTCCCTTTCTCTTAACAGATTCCGTTAATGGCTTCATTTTGGGGCACATGTATTCAGTGACTGGTGGCTTGTTCCTCGGAAGTGATGCAACTTGAGTAGAGCTAATTTTATTGTTTGGAGAGCGTCTAAAATGAGTTGGGGCATTTCTATTGTAAACCATGTGTTTATGTATTGCACAATTGTTTTGTAAGTTATGCGTTGATTGTTACCAATAAAGAAATGCTTACTTGTAGTTTTTTTTTCTGTTCTTAACATTGAGTCATGGATCATGAGCCATGTTACCAGGAGATGACTTTTAGCCATGGTTAATCTGTTTTTAGCATGGCTTCTATGCATTTTATTTCCTTGGAAAAAGAATCCTCAGAAATGTCAACAATTTAGACTGATGTTTAAATGGTTGGCAGTTTAACTGTTGATGCTTTTGCGTTCACCCAAATGGGAGGTTGGTAAATCAAATCTGTTAACAGTTGGATCACTTTGTCTCCATGTAAATCTAAGACAAAGTGGTGTTGTCATTCAAGGCACATTTGGGATAAGCGCCTTAAACTTTTTCTGTGAAGCTGCTTTGCAATGATCATGAAATGCACTATATAAATATGTATTTAACTGAATTGGGTTCCAGAGTCAAGTGTTATTAAAAATGATCTAGCTTTTGTCCTTTTGCTGGAGGTGCAGTGGTTCTCACCTGGTTTTACTTAATAACCCAGATGTTACACTGTATATAGGTGTTTCTGCTTGTTAATTCAATTGTTTTAGAATTAATACTACACTGAATAATCTAGGCTCAATGCAGAAATATCAATATGTTTGGTTTTTGCACTTTTTTTTTGGGGTTCAGGCTCAATGCAGCAGTAATTGGCACCATACAAAAGCTGATGTCTGTGGACTGCACAAACCATGTTTATTATAATTGTAACTGAACCTGTAATGTAATCTGGTTCATATTTCATAGTTTTGTTCATGGATTTAAAGAATGAGGGTGTCATCCTGTCCTGCCTAATTTGACAAGAAATGAATTTGCAGCAAAGGATATTTGAAAGATTTTCTTAACTTTTATATGAAACACATTTTGCTGTTGTAACTATGCACTGAAAAAAACCCAGCTACATTTTTTTTTCACATTTATCTTTTTTGCCCTTGTGGCTGACCATCAGAACTGACCCATGACCCATTTTTGGATCATGACCCACCAGTTGAGAGCCACTGTTGAAATTGTACAATAACAGGACTTCTGAATTACAGCACCCGATAAGGGGATAGAGGGAATTAAGAACATTATCTGAACTAACAAACACAGCTTCAGAGCTGCATAGCACAGCCACTCACGTTTACCACACATGTAAAGTGCCTGTCGCTCTGTTGTACAACGCTCTGACACGGCCATATAGGTCTGTCCCTTCAGTGCAGTACCGTCCTATGCTTTAAAGCATTCTATTGGCTAGTGCTACAAATCAGCAGCACAGAAAAAAGAATTGGATGGTGAATATTTCACATTTTTTGCCTTCAACCTACTAACATGTAACAATAGAACTAAAGGATTTAATAAGACTGGATATATGAACTTGATTTTTAAACCTCATTTCATTGCTGGGTGTTTATTTGTCTATGGCCCTGTGTACTATTTAATTTGTAATAATTACAGTGCACAACAGGACATACATGCATTACAGGAGCATTCTGTAAGATCTAATTTTTTCCTACAAACGACTACAAACGCAACAATGCATTTATATGCATGCTTCGTTCTGTGTTGATGTAAGTTTTCTAGAGGGAGGTATGACTGACGATATTAAGACAGAATGGACTGATGTCTGCAGAACTGAATGACACACTAGTTTGTTATCTAACATGTAGGGTGAAGTGCAATTTATGGGCACAGAAGTGATTAATGACTCAAGTACACAGACTGGTTCTTGTACCATTTTTTATGCGTATGAATTACATTGCGATTGAAGGAACAGACAGGAGAAAGAGGAAATGTTTGGGAGGAAACCACAGGTTTTTAAGTAACAATGTCGTGATTGGCAGGTTTTTGCTTGTTGTGGCCTATTTGTGAATCGCTTTCAATAGACATAAACAATTAAAATGTCTGGATACACTGTGCCTGAGTACGTTGTTTTCAATTCGCTGGATTGAGTAATGGTCCATAATTATGAACCATTGTGGCTTTTGTTCTTCTAAACATTGTGAATGTAGCTCATATGAATTATCGAGCCAATTCAGCTTTTCATTAACAGGAGGAACCAGGATTCTGCTTCCTATTAACTATGGTACTATTAACAATTCTTTTACTACTTTTAAATACATACATACAAAATAAATAAATACAATTCCATTGCCAAATGATGAGATAATTTCAAGAAATGATTGATAAGGTGTATTTACACCATATTTACATACATATTTCATAATTTTCATTCAATTCATATTTATAAAATACTACTGACAAAAGGCATGTGTTTCTTTAACTGCACATTGTCATGCAAACAATGAGTCAGTAACTACACTGATTAGTTAGTTGTGTGTATTTTTATTAGTCATTCTCTTGGAAATCAGGCTGCTGCGGAGTTGTGGTGCCATTGTAGAAGGAAAGTCTGTCAGGTTAATTTAGTTCAGTGTTTCATCTGTATAAGCAGAAGAATGCACATTCGAGAAGCATTAATGGCATGGAACATGTTTTGGTTCCAGGTATTTATTCTGTAGCCAACCCTTAGCTTTGCACTCTGAGAGTAACAAACAACAACTATGTCATGAAATTTAACCCCAAACAAGAACATTGTGATCTATTTTTGGCTTGTGCCATGGATGGAGGGATTGAAGAGTTGGGCCATACTCACAGGAATGTGACTGGATTTGAAACAGAGTGCCAGTCAGCTGTCTTCCACGGTCCATGTCTGGTTACTTTGATGTGACCCAGATGTGAAATGTGGTTCAGGGTTGGACAGGAATTTAACCCCAAACAAGAACATTGTGATCTATTTTTGGCTTGTGCCATGGATGGAGGGATTGAAGAGTTGGGCCATACTCACAGGAATGTGACTGGATTTGAAACAGAGTGCCAATCAGCTGTCTTCCACGGTCCATGTCTGGTTACTTTGATGTGACCCAGATATGAAATGTGGTTCAGGGTTGGACAGGATGGGCCACATTCAGGCAGAGCTACATGTTTTTTGGAAGAGGTAACTGTTCCTGAGGAAAACGGTTTCAGGGCTGAACGACTTGGACATTTTTCAGAAGGGAATGACAAGATGTGTTTGGATAACACAGCAGTGAAAAACGACTACCTTTCATCAAGGGGTGCCACAACAAGTATATTTATATCCAAGCTCCTTTGTTTTGGATGCCCTAACTTAAGATGTTGGTATGCTTGGTCATCCAGTTTCATTAGAAAGATAAATCAGAAAGACATTTTTTACAGGCAAAAACGTGGCTGCACCAGCTAGACCAACACTGAACTAGCATAAACCAGCTTGGACCAGTCATCACATAAATAAACTCTCTCACTATCTCTAATACAGAAACATACTTCCTCCTTTCCAGCTCGCTCTCCTTCTATCTGCCTCTTTGTGTTTCTCTCACATGAATGATGATCGCTTTCATCCAGTGCAACCCACAGTTTTACATATTCTCTGTCAAACACACACAAGTCCTTTGAAGACTGCTGGTAAATGGAGAAAAAAATCTTTTTGACCTTCTCCAGGTCACTGATGGAACAAAGATCTGAATTATGTAGGATCCTTTTACATTTCTCAGGACAAAACAAAAATTCATCTGTCTCAGTGGATCGCTGTCAGACATATACACACTTTTCACCTCATCTTGGAGGTTGAGCTGTGGGCAGACAGAATACTTGTGTGGATAGATGCCATACTGTTCTTTAAACTGTCTTGTTTCACTCTTTCAGACTGGTCTGAACCAGGTTTCTTTGTCACATTTTGCATACTTTGGGAATACTATATGACACTTTGTAGTGTAAGTAGTGTGAGCAGTATATATTCACACTCAGATAATGTAGGCCTAGCTATTTAACCACAAAACTAGCCTGAGAAAATATTGTCTGGAATTTCTATGTAGATGACAGCACCTTACAAATTAGTTGAATGCTTTATCATCACCTCATATTGTGTGATTTTTGTTTATTTGCATGTAAAAATGTTTTTAAAAACAGCCCAAATATGGCTCGTGGTCTCAGCTTAAGTTACATGCTAAAGCTAAGAGCGACAACAAATGAAAGGATAATTTCCCTTAACTGAAAAACAGTGAAAGTTACTTTGTAATTAAAAAACCAAATTCATAAACTGGATGTCAGACTCAGTGTATTGCAGTGGGTGTATTGCATGCCTAATGAATTATTTTTTTTTTAATTCATTAAATAATTTTAATGAACTTAAAAATTTAAAAAAACATAAAATCACATGAATTTATATATATATATACTGTATATATAACAGGGCTTGACATTAAGCATTTTCATGTAGTTTAAATAGTCCTTTACTTGTCCGAGTATAAAAGTTACTTGCCCGGAGAGAAACAAATACATTTAAATTGAGTTATAAATATAATTATTTATTGTAGTTATACAAAACATTGTAGTGTTTATAGAGTATATGTAGTAGATTTTGTGAGCATGTCACATTTAGTTTATTTAGTTAGATTTTTCTTTTTTAAAATAATAAACAAAATAATAAAGTGAAATCAGTATCAACAAAATTCATCTTTGCAATGCAGAGGAAACATAGAAGCTGCATCTGAAGTGAAATAGACATATTTACCCACTGTTTAATGCCGCTCTGAGGGACATGGAATGCTTTAACCTGCAGTTACAAATGAATAAATAATGTTTTGATACATAAAACGTTGAAAACTGATATTTGAAATTATTTAAAAAATAAAAAAAGATACTTTAAATGTGAAATTAAAACCGCCAGTAGGTGGCATTCATTCAGGAACGAAACACCATCATGTTGCTCAGAGATGCAAAACAGTGCTGTGGCTGTGTTTGGAATTATTTCTGTTGGCGAAATAGAACAAAAACAGGCGACATGGTGTCTAAAACGTAAGTCTCTTAATATTAACTTCTTGTTTATTGAACTGTTGTATAAAATCACATTTTTAATCATGCTGATTTTTGGAGCAAAAAACGGTGCTTGATCTTCGTGTGATATTGTTTAACTATATGAAATTATATAAATATATACATTTTCTGCCCCCATATCTTGAATTTCTGATCATTCTTCATGCATT